TTTTAAAGAATCGAATGATTAACAGTGTCAAAAGCCTTACCTAGGTCTAAAAATATTCCAATATAGTATATTCATTGTTATTAATAGCTGAATTTATTCTATCTATTAGTTGTATAAGCGCCATGGAGGTAGAGTATCTCTTTCTAAAGCCGTACTGACGTTTGTACAGAATATCGTTCTGGTCTAGATGTTTTAAAAGTCGATTTTATATTAGTTTTTCCAAAATTTTCGAGATGCAGGGCAGGATTGAGATTGGGCGGTAGTTACTAAGGTAGAATCATTGCTTTTAAATATAGGAATCACTTTTGCAATTTTAGTTGGTTTAGGAACCACTCCGTTCTGGATAGATAAAGTCAATATATGAGTAAGAGGGCGTATAATATAAGGTAGGGAAATTTTTAGTATTTTAGTACTAATTCCGTCGTGACCAGCAGCGTAATCTTTCAAATTTCTAACTATGTTTAAAACTTCGGCCATTGTGGGTGGTTCAAAAGACGTTAGTTGGCTAATTTGCGGAGTATTAATGTAATCAAGGGGATCTTTCGTCACCATGGGGATTTTGCTTTCCAGGGTAGGACCGACATTTACAAAAAAGGCATTAATTTCTTCGCACATCTTACTTTTTTCAGTAATAACTTGAGTATCTGTTTGGATTTGAAGAAGGGCTGTTTTTGATTTATTACGACGATTTAATAATTCATTGATAACGTTCCAAGTTGTTTTTCACGCTGGAGGAGGCTTCTGTGAATTTCCGTAATAATTCTTTTTTTGGCCGTTTTTAACAAATGATTTAGCTTATTTTTGTATACTTTGTAGGTACTCTCTGTTAGAGGGTTAGGGTTTTTAACGTATTTTCTATACAGTTTGTTTTTCTTCTTAATCGATTTAAGCAAACAGCGGGTTAACCATGGTTTTTTGTGGGGATGTTGGACAATTTTGGTAGTTTTCATAGGAAATGATTTGTCAAAAAGTGAGGAAAATATAGAAATAAATATATTATAAGCCATTTCTGTATCAGTTTCTTCCAAAACGGACATCCACGATGTGTTAGTTAAGGATTCAACAAATTTTGCTTTGTTCACCTCATTAATCTGTCTATAAGTATACCGAATATCATTCTTCAACGGCTCCTCAAATCCAGTTGTCAAAAATATTGGAAAATGGTCTGATATGTCTGTTACTAAAATTCCAGCCGTTAAGTCAGAACTTAGTGTGTTCGTGTAGATATTATCGATTAAGGTGGCAGAATGTGGTGTGATTCTTGTAGGCTTGTAAACAAGAGGGAAGAATGAGGAAGAAAAAAGATTATTAATGTGATCAGTAGTAGGGGAATGTGAGGTTTTTAATAGGTCTATATTGAAGTCACACAAGATATAGCAGGTACTCTTTTCTTTGTTAATCTTATTCAGGCATTCAGTTAATTTGTCATTAAACTCCTGTATAAGAGTGTTTGGAGGCCTGTATACACATCCAATAATGACTTTTTACCTTCAGCACCACTTGAGGACAATTCAATGAAAATACACTGAGTTTCTTACTCCTCAATTTCAAACTCCAAGTCATTTTCTCAACATAGGATAAGTCATTTCTTATGAATAGGGAACCCCCCCCTCCTACCTTATGATGTCTGCAATGATGAATAACTTTATAATTGGGTATGTTGTAATTTTTAGCTGTATTTTGAGATAACCAAGTCTCTGTTATGCCAATTACAGAAAAACTATGTTTTAAGGAGTGTAGGTATTCATTAAGCTGCCCAAAGTGGCGTGGAAAGCTCCTAGCATTCAAATGAAACAACGATAGAGAACGTCTCTTGCTTAAATTACATGAGTTTACAAAAGAATCAATATCATAGTACTGGGAAGCAACCTCATGTTATTGTGTAGCATGTAGATGGGCAATATTATCTTTTTCCGCTGACAGAAAACATTTCTAGCTCTGCCCTATGAAGGATGGCAATGGATTTCATTCTCTAATTTTCCAACACCAAGGAGCTCACACTTTCTGGTTGTATTTTCCCTTGGCCTATGCCACTGTTGTGGCAAACTTGTCACACTTGCCTCAGCTGACACTACTTTAAGACCTAGGTACAGTAAATGCCGAATTCGTCCAGGGAAAAAAGATTATATTGCCCATCTACATGCTACACAATAACATGAGGTTGCTTGCAAAACAATTAACGAACTCACTGGACAGAAATCTAGACCGACTAGATAACATCCCTGTCATCATACGGACAGATCCTGTGTGTATGGAACTTCTTCTACATTCATGTAATGAAACGGTTACAACCCACAGTCCACAATCATCCTGGCTTAAAGGAGGAATTGTCCATATCCCCAAAAGGGTCACTTAACATCTACCTCTAATTACAGAGGAATAACTCTTACCCAAATTGAAGCCAGTATTACTTAACCCTTAACAGTACACCTTCCCGGACTGATTAATCTGTACACCTGTACGTCCGCGCGGACCCCAGAACAGTTTTTTGCTAATTTTTAGAAATTGTCAACATGCTACCAGCTCAATTGTTTTGCAAACTGATGTGGGAGCCTCTGTGTCCACATTACATACAAAAATCATAAATTTTGAACTTTTTCTGTTTTTGGTGAAGGAAAGAAGACAAGAAGAAATACCCGATTTTTAAACCCATTTCAGACTGAAGGGGCTTTTGAGGCCCAACTTTGATCTCAGATAGCGCCTAAACGGCTTGCGCTAGAAGTATCAAATTTGGAGACCTTTCCTAAAATGTCTCTGAAAAAAAAGTTCATATTAGTTTAATACTAGTAAGTTGATGTTTTTTTTGTGTTGCCATGGCAACGGGTTTCTAGCAGGCAGCTTTTTTGAAAATAGAATTAATTTTGGTTTGAACATAAAAATTTTCTGAGTTTTATATTAAATTACACTTCTTTTCCAACATTAATAACATCTTACATAATTAAATATAAGTTAAATCATTTAATATGCATAGAATATGCTAATTTGATGACGTCATTGGTCAAAATCCAATATGGCGGACTATATTATTAGCTCTGACGTCATATGACGTCATAATTACACCAAAGTTATTAAAATTTAATTCTATTACTACACCATTCTCTAAAAACTTTGTAGACATACGATATGATTGCATAAAAACATATAAAAACGGAAATAAAGTAATATATAAGAACGCCAGTGTAGCCATTATGATCGAAAGCCGGCTGGGGGTCCGCGCGGACCCCAAAAGAAAATCAGATATAATTTTTTTTTATAATTGGTAGAAACGGAGTTTTCTGCAATGTATTGAGAGACAACTTTGTGGGTGACAATTACCTAAAATTTCAGAAAAATGTCTTTAGAAACAAAAAAGATATTAAAGAACATATAGTGCTGGGGTCCGTGCGGACCCCAGGTGTACTGTTTAGGGTTAATCGTCTTACCCCTATAATTTATTCAATTCTCAGAAAGAACCAAAATTGATTCAGAAAACTTAAGGTAGATCAACCATCTCACAAATATTCGCAATACGTCGAATGATTGAGGAGATCAAGATAAGTAACAGGGATTATGTCTTGCTTTTCGTTGATATTCGTAAATCATTCGATTGCGTTGACAGAGATGTGATGTTCGATCTACTAGCACAGTAGGGTGTACCACAGTGTTTTATTTAAGCAATCAGAGCTGTGTATAAAATACCACAGCGTCTGTGTTAGCCCTTGACGGTGAGACAAGTGCATTTGAGATAACCACGGGAGATCTCCAGGGTGATAGTTCAGCTCATTATCTTTTCATCATTGTGCTTGATTATGTGTTAAGACTTCCCCTTGATAGACATGAAAACAAAGGAATTGAAATCAACCCACGAATGAGCCGAAGATATCCTGCCCATTTTTTAGCTGATTTACATTTTGCTGATTACCTCGCCATAGTTGCATAATTGATTAAGAATGCAGAGACTTTGTTATAGTCACTATAGGAATCCGCCTCCATTGTTGGACTTCATTGTAATGAATCGAAATTACAAATACTGTACTACAAAAGCTCAGATATTTGTCTGGGGCACTTATTAAAGAGCTGAAAACTTCAAATATCTAGGCTTCTACATTAAATACTTAAAATAAAAGATTTTAAACAAGAAACGCTGTGACCTGGGAAGCATGATTGAGCAGGAAACTGGAGTGTCTTATGTGGTGGCATAGAGCCTGGCTGATAGGCCGCTAATGTAGGTTTGTAAGACCTTGATGTTGGACCTGAGTGTAGAAACAAGGGCCAGTACATGGGTACAGGTAAAATTTATGTGGAAAAATAGATGCATTGTCACGAACGGAAGTGCATGCAGATATAGAAGATGAAGGAAGTAAAACATAAGTGAACTGTATCAACTCAACCTTTTTATTGAACGTCCAACAACGAGTAAAATCCTTTAACATAGGATTACATTTGGTAATACAACACGTACAGAACTTTCGCGTATACTACTGTAACAAACTTTATATACATAACGTTGATCAAAATCATTTAAAAAAAAGCGCAAGCCAGGATCCTCTACCAGGTCCCTTTATTTCAAAAGAACATCAAACTCTCTTGGCATGCTTAGATGGTACCGAATACTGATACCGCGGGGTCTTTTTTTCTAAGGCCATGTTGATTTGATTATATGGATGACATCCTCTGGGAACCCCAAAACTGATGCGAGCGCGCGAATAAAAAAACGTTTTGCAAAAAAAAAAAAAATTGCTTTCATGAAATCTACGTTGTTATGAAGGTCGAACCAATGACACAGAGTATGGTATGGCGAATAATCTACTCTTTAAATTCATTTCTTTGCATTTTAGTTTTTTGTTTGATTTTGGCATTCTACGACGTTGGAATCGTTTTCAAATATTTTTTTGCAACTTTCGGTATATATTTGCTCATTTTGCAACTGTTTTGTACAATTTACAGTGTGGTTGGGTATTTTTTTTTGAAACGGCCGAAAATTCATGCGCGCGCGGATGTCATCCATATAATCCAAATCAACATGGCCTAATGAGCGAAAAAAGGCAAACGTAAACAGATTAGCCCGGTACGGAAGCGCCCCCTCCCTTCGCCGGCATAGCAGAAAGAATGCCATTCTTTTAGTAGTTGTAAATCATACAGAAAAGTACTTTTGAAGTCCCTTGTCAACTTTAAGGGGTAATCATTTGTCTTCAAAGCTTATTTATTTTCCGTATTCGTGTGCTAATAAATTATTGTACTACAAAAGTACGTTGCTCCCTCCCCCGTGTGACCGAGCTGTTTGTACACTTCGTTTTTGTCCTGAACATCCGTGCAGCTGCGATACAATGCATTCAAAGAAGGCAGAACCTGCAGAAATTCTGTCGTTATGATTTTGAATACACTTTTAAATGTTTGTGTATCCGCAAATGCCTCTTCATATTGGACAGCGTAGTAAACTGCGCCGTACATGCTTTACAATTATACGGTTTTTCCCCTGTGTGGGTCCGAATGTGAGCCTTTAGATGAGATGACTGATTAAATATCTTGCTACAATATTTACAACTATATGGCTTTTCGCCAGTGTGGGTCCTCATGTGAACCTTCAGTACATTAAGATATCTAAACGGTGTGTTGCACGTTTTACAGCTGTATGGTTTTTCCCCTGTATGGATTCTCATGTGATCCTTAAGATGAGTCAGCTGTCTAAAGCATTTTGTACATTTTTCACATTGATACGGTTTTTCGCCAGTATGCGTCCTTATGTGTGCATTTAGGACATTACGGTTGCTAAAAAACCTGTTGCACTCCTTACAATGGTAAGGTTTTTCGCCCGTATGATGTCTTATGTGTGTCTTTAGGTTAGACAACGTGCTGAACTTCCTGCCGCACTCTTCACATCGATACGGCCTCTCTCCGGTATGGGTTCGCGTGTGTGTCTGAAGATGTCCCAGCTGATTAAAATGTCTGTTACACTCCTCACATCTGTAGACTCTGTCACGAGTTTGAGTCCGAGTGTGCGTGGTGCTGCACTTCCAATACTTGTTAGAACCTGCAGTATTAATTACATCTTTCTCCTGCATGTTGATACTATCTTGTTCCTGTAGAAAATATTAATGTTTGAACTTTAAAAACTATGTCCTAACTATGTAAAAAGTCATTTATTCATACATACACGAATACATTTCTGACATGGTATTTTAAGACAATTCAATAATTAAACAGCAAATTTTAGTATCAAACCATCACCATAATTTTCCATCGTCACTATCAATATGGAAGCAGATGTGAATGATAATGAACATAAGTGGAGGTTATCAATGAGTTGCCTTAACCAAACATTCTTTACCAAACATTAGGCCCTTCACTGATTTCTTTCCAGTGGTAAAATACGGATGCTGCGGGTAATTTCCCGATCATACTCCCCTGTCGAATCTTAGGTCTATTGACCCCAAAAGTTACCAAAAAAGTCCAACCAGACTGCAACATTCTCCCACGGCAGAGCTATCCCGCGGCAAATACGCCTTGGGATTAGCTCTGCCCCATTAGCCCCAGATTTGTCCTCTGCGGGGCCCGGTTTATAATATTCATGCTTGCCTTATTTGGCGAAAACCAATCAGCGCCCAGATTATCTAAATTCAACATGGCGGACATGTAAGCATGCCCATATCATATCTAAAAACTGACAAACAAAAGATGGAGGCATAACAAATACAATAACTAAAATCACGATAATCAAGTTATACCTAAAAAAAAAAACTACTTAAAAAGTAGGTTAATGTAGTGCCTCCAGAATGTGCTGAGGTTGTAACCGTCAGTTACCGTGAGTTAGCGTAGTGATGATCGAATTGTCACTGTAAAGCAGCCGAGTGACAAACGAGTACAATTGTTTCCTACGTCTGGAGTCAAAAGTGTCGATACTGAGGTTGGCAAATAGCAGGCTATTACTAGTGCTTCTGCTTTCAGAGAGCAGCAAGTTCAATGTCATATGTATTTATTTTAGTGGTGCCGCACTCAAGTGGAAAGCACTTATGTTGACGGCACCACTAAAATAAATACATGTCCTGTACCTTTTTCCATGTGAATGAATAAAAAAAAAGTTCAAGGCACTGTGGTACGCCACACGCAGTCTAGAAATAATACCCACACTATAGTCTGACCATATCTGAGAACAATACATGGGAGAGCAGTAGCTATTAAAAAGGATCCGTTTCACCTCAACTGAACTGTAGTGGAACCTACGTAGGAGCGAGTTCGCCCTAGAATAAAAACTTTGGGTTGCCTGTTTCGCTGGCTAAAATACAACACAGACCTCCCCCCACCTATCCTTACACTTAGGAAGGCGTCTCTGTTGTTAAGAAGCAGTGTCTGTACCGTGCGCTGTTGATGTTGACGATGCCGATTCAAACAATTCTTGCACGGCTGGCCCAAAAAATAGCCGACAGGATGTTTTCAGTTAACCCAAAAAAGCGATGTAAGCCGTGATGTGATTGGCCTACAGCTTCCCAGCAACCTTTGATCTTAGCTTTCCACTACCGAAAGCTATGCCTCTGATTGGCTAAAGCTTATCAGCCCGTTACAGTGGTTTGAAATGGGCAGTTTGCCAGGGGTGCTCCCTAATGGTAAGGAAGCACCCCTGGCGTTGGAGGTTGGACTGCAAGAGATAAAGAATTACAAAAACACAAAAGAATAAGGCAAATAAAAAAAAACCTTTTGTAGAGCAATGCATTCCTCCTATACCCGTAATATGTAGTAAAGTTAAATGTTTGTGTGTGGGTTTGGCGAGGATACCAGTAATATGATCCTGGTATATTGTTTAAGCCAATAGCAACGGTCCAAACGTACTAGATTACTAGTTTAATAACTTGTCTTTTCGTTAATATCCTTTGATATAGAACAATAGAAACATGAAAAAAAAGTTTTTTTAAGCTGACCCGGTCTCAACAAAGAGCTAGATGAAGGCATCGCCTATCCGGGGTGACTTTAGTGTCTCGCGGGGCACTTTAGCGGGAGCCATATCTCAGCAATCCTTGATCCCTAACTTCAATGTTTAACAATGTTAGGGCCTCTTTAGTACAGAGCAAAAACCTGGTAAGTTTAAAGGTTCAGGATCGGACTTTTTCAATTTTAAACGGCGATAAATAAAAAAAAATCGACGTGCGTAAATTATCCCACCGTTCAGCCTATGACTGGAACTATCAACATAGTTATTTAGTTGAATATATTTTTCTTTCGTTGGTTAAGAGCTGATACAAGATTTCCATGTGATGGTATTGACTTCATGTACTGCACTACTCATATGTATATGAGAATATGAATGTGAATTTATTGTAGCCAATCTTTGATGCTGTCTTAATCAAAGACCGCAATCAGTCGGGCACGGCATGGCGTGTAAAGGTTTTATGAAAAGGTTGTAATGTACGAATCAAACACCGACGTGCAACCTACGTTCCAACGTGCGTTAATCGGGGCTATATAACCGGCTGAGGCTGGGTGAAAACTTGGCACGAAATTGAAGCAGGCATTTTATCAAAATCATTGGATTTGAATTATTGCCTTACTTCGCCAGATGACAAGAATTCTTTAACTGTTTTTTTTTTTCGCAAACTAATGTTATTTTAAAAGGGTGGCTTAAGAGTCAGATTCTATCCATGCTGCACTTGACTATGGTAAAAATTTTATCTATAAAAGGAAAAAAAAACATTACCATAAACGCAGTGACAGTACCAGTCCACTCTAACACAGTGCAATCCTACTTACTAAATCAGCTTGCCAAACATCAATAAGACAATGTTACAATGGATGGGCCTAGCCTATCATTGTTATGACCAATCAGTGCCCGTCTATTGAAAACCCACAGGGATCTGTAGAGAAAAAAACAAGAGTTCCGAGATCTCATACCTCCATGAAATATGGGCTTGTTTTATCATACTTCATTTCAACATGTCCTCATTAATTATGCAAATGACCTCGAAATTAATATAATATATGTATAGTGGTGCTAACCGTCAAGTAACTTACACATGTCACGAGGTATAAAATTCCCATCATTCACCAATAAGGAGTCACAGAATTTTTACATTAATTATGCAAGTTAGGTCATAATTTGCATAATTGGTATCTGTTGATGTTCTGCCTGGAGTTATTGGCTTTTAAAGGTTTCGCCAGAAAGTTCCCCGCAGATCTAGGACAATGTGCTAGGGAGACCAAATTCACACCACTTATTTCTAAAAGGAAAAGCTATCTGTCACCTAAAAGTCAAGACCATAGCATGTTCAGGACAAAAGATACAAAAACCGGAAGTTCTACTGCAGTACCGAGGTCATCCACCAGGAGGCCCATATTTGACCTTGACCTTTGTCTTCCCAAGACGTACCATCATACCACATATAATGATAATCCATAAAGGCGTTATGAAGTTATGCTGACCACAAAGTTGCGAAAACACACACAGACACACACACACACAGACAGACACACACACACAGACAGACACACACACATGCATACAGACAGACACGCCAAAAACAATACCTTCATTTTTCATGAAGGTAAAAACTCCCTTTGTTTTACACGGTATTTAGGAAAGTGCTGCTGTAAAGCTTAAGTCACATTTGAAACGGCGCCCGTTCGGCATGTCCACGGCGTAGACGCCGGCTGGCGTCATGACGCCGAGCGTTTGCCGACTGTCAGGGTCACAATTAAATGATCCTTTACGGCTCCCTGTCGGGGCAAGGCTGTACTCCGGCCGGCGCTGAGGCAGCTTCCAATTAATATTAGTAAACGTTTGGTCCCCTCGGCGGCCGGCTTCTGTTAAGCGACGGTCACAACCCACCGTGCGTGCTTTTTGTCCGTACGTTTTTTGGGAGGCTACGTGTGCTACGTTTTTTTCTGAAAACGTGCGGAAGGAGTGGCATCGACGCACGTCACTCGCACGGTTTTGCAAGGTGTAAGAGTGTGGTCTGCACGTTACGTCTGGCCGTGAGCGGTTGCGTGCATTGTACGTTGCGCAAGTGGTAAGTGAGTTGTACGTGCTTACAACGCACGATCTCTGTGCGATTGCAACTTTACCGTAAGGAGGCCGTACTCTCACGTGCTTCTTCCGCACGACACTACGAGGCACGCGCGTCGCTCGTACTCGCACGCACGGGTGGTGAATCCGCAGACCGCACGTAGAAAAAGTTTTACATGCACTTAAAGTTTCTGCGTGCTCCCAAATCCGTAGGATTCCGTCCGGAGGTGGTACTCACCACGCACGGATGCCCTACGTTTGCCCACGTTTTTGCACGTAGACAGCACGCAGAAGCATGTACGGCGGGTTGTGACCGTCGCTTTAGAGAACCGTTCGGTGCCTGTTCAGTCTCCCATCTTGACCCGTGCGGCGTGTGGTAGGGTGCCGACCGGCTCTTGCAGTTCGGCCGGGCAGCTGTCAGGTCCCTGGCTGGGTCCAGAGGGGATACTGGCCCGTCCCTGGCGGGATCCCGACGGGCTCTCTCTCCCTCTCTCTCTCTCTATATATATATATATACTCTCTCTCTCTCTCTATATATATATATATATATATATATATATAAGCGCTGCACTGCCTGCCACTGTTCACTTGTTTTCTAATATACGACACGTCAAGTGAAGAGTACACTTACGTTGGCGATGCAGCGTTTAGTGCAACCTGCTAACAACATGCAAGCCCGTCTGAGGTTGAGATTGGCAATAGCTTTTTTGGTTGGTTTGTTTGTTTGTTTGTTTATTGCGATCTCCATTAAAATGGTTAATTCCATACTATTCTTCCTCGAGTCCAACATAAAATAAAATAACAAATAAATAACAAATAAGCATTACAAAATTATAATATTTCAGCAATGATTATAATAAATAGATCATACAAAAATTTGTTTAAATTATGACAAACCTGAAACAAAATCAGCATAGAGAAAAAAAAAGTGCATTGGAGGTCAGAGATCAATAATAGAAATCATATGTCAGAAATGAAAGTAATAATCGATGTACTTTCCAATCATTGGAAAATTGAAGTAACAAAACAGTAAACAAATAGTTGAACTGACATAAAAAATAACAAAATATAAATAACTCAAATGCAACAATCTATGTGCAACAGAATGCCATTCCTTAAATCAAGTGATTAAACAAAAGACAAAAGAAAAGAGCTCGCAGCTTCATACCTAAATCAATCGATATTCCAACAACAAAATTCTGTTACCACCACAGAGAAAGGGGTGAGCCCTTGTCTATGTGTGTTTTCACCCAGTCATTTACTGTGATCTTAAACGTTGGCTGGTTTGCTATGATCAAAGGAGGTGGGAGGATGATCCGCTCCAGAAAATTCCGTCTTTCTAGCCACGTTGGACCGAGCCATCCAGTTTTTGTGTACAGAATCCTGTTACAAGTACTTTTGAGTGCCGTTTGCATATGGGAAAGAGACACAGAGGATTCAGGGGCAGCCAAACTGGCAGCAGCTCTGAGGAAAATACGAACACACCAACTCTGTTGTACATTTGTAAAATGATGAGCGATAAATAAATTAAGTTAACTCGCCCCCATTTTTTAGCATTTTTGGTGTGTAGGTAGCTGAGAGAGATGTACAAAATTAGATGTGATTTATGCAAATGAATACTTAATTTGCAAAATCAAGGACGAAATTCTGTATGGCAGTGTTTTATTTGATATTACTTTTATGAGTGTAATGTATTTAATTAATGGGAGATGAACGATCAACAGATACTAATTATGCAAATAACGACCCAATTTGCATGACCAATGTGAAATTCTGTGATTCCTTATTGGTGAATGATGTGGATTGGAAACCTTGTAACATGTGTAAGTTACTTAAAGGTTAACATCACTATGCATATATCATGTTGATGTATAGGCTATTTGCGTAATGGTCTGTTCCAGACCGAACGCATCGAATCCACTGTTCTATTTCGAACACCTCCGTCAAACTCATCGCGGGAAATCTAAAAGCAGCCGAGTTGATGTCTGCTTGATAAAGACTCCTTGTTTTACATGTGAAACTGAATTTGTCACATTGCATGCACTTTCAAGTTGCTTAAGGACGTTCTGTTATTCTTCCAGGTGTTTATAATCTATCATTATTGTTTATGTCTGTGTTTGCGTGCTTATTTTTCTACTTGTACCACAAATCCCTTTATAAGTTGCGCCCTCCCTCGTGAGTCCCCGTGAGTTTTTACTTCCCATTTCGTTTTTTTCCCGAGCTTGTATGCAGCTATGATGTATGCAGCAAATGCCGTGGAAAACCTGTTACAGATAAACGTACTCTGTTTCACACATGTATCGGCTGTTAGTCATCAACCGGGCACTTTTGTCCACCTACCGTGTGATGTTATGCGGCCATTCCCGCGTATGTATTGACCAAAATATTTTGCTCTCAATGAAACTACCTCTGTTCCCTCCTAAAATAATTCTACTCTGCGGATGTACCGTTCAACAAATACAGATTAACCAATTTTTTGTTGTTTCCTGGGAGAGTTTTTCGCTGCCGAAAAATCGACCGTAAAGATGGGCTGCAAATCGGACATTCTGGCGGGGGTAGACGGTACGGCCCTTCCCGCGCTCATTTTGACGGAGGTGTTCGAGTTGCTAGGGCGTTGCTAAGGGGGGGCGTGGCTTATGGAACGGTCCATTATGACATGTTGAAATTACTTATTTCGTGCGCTGGTCTTTATGCAATAGCGTCTTCTGTATGTGTATAATTCAAAATACTTGGTCTTTGATTGACTGCTGGTAAACTATTGTTACTTGTGTCACGGCTTTAATGCAACGTCTACCTTTCTCCGTTAGGGGTCGCTTATGTACATCTTCTATGCCTTATTCAAAAGCCTACTCGGAAATCACATGACCACACTTTGTATCGTGTTGTTGCCGTCATGTATGCATCACTTTCAAAGTGTTTGCAAAGCTTTAACTGGCTTACATCTTAAATTTAATGGTGCGCTAACCTGCGAGCGGGAATATATAGGTATGTTTAATATTGATACATGTTTTCTAATATTTCTGATATTTGACTTTAGATTCAAGGTTTGAAAGATGTGGGTCATCGTTTGCTATATTAACTATTGATCAATCTACGACATTCTGCAACAAGAAACATCTACGAATATCAGATTTCATCAGATTGCTTCACCAAATTTCTATTCTTTTTTAAATACAACGTCCATATAAATGTCTATAGTCATCACATTAAATCTATAAACTGTCGCATTCAGAGGATTTAACGGCCACCTGGCCCCAGGAATATTTTTTTTTTTCATTAAATGGTTCGACATCTATAAAAGTGCACTAAGTTAGGTATTATAATACAGATGTTTGAAGTGTTATGTTGCCCATCAAAATTATCAAACGTCGCAAGATGCGTTACATGAAAATACGGTTTAAGAACATAGCATATAATGTGGACCTCACAAGCCAATCAACAGTAGGGGCTTGTAATTCTTTAGCATACCATAAATACATGACTAAAATATTCCTGAAGTTACTTCTTCTAAATCCTGTCCTTTTTAAAGTGAGACTGAAATGACATTTAGCAAAATGTAGTTCGGGTTAGTACCCTTAAAAGATATATTCCTGATCTGTCATATAAGCCTGATTTTTTTTAAGTTACGTGAAGTGGATAAGCGGCTTAGGGGACTGATAACCAGTTCAAGAAGTCACAGGCTCGATTACATGCACTCCTGGCTAAAGTGGTACCAGAAATTACCAAATATTAAGCTGAAAATATTGTGTCTTTGACATGTAATATGTCTTTAGAATGTTATTCAATATTTTGAATAGGATGATTTGAATAATAAATTCTGGGAGTTTTTATTGCTTTTAAAAGACCTACAATGCACATTTATAGTTGCGCCAATGTTCCAATTTCAAAATATCATATCAAATAAATTTATAAAAGTACCGGATGTATAGAGTTTTCTAATGAATTATAGTAATTAGGTCTTTATTTGCATAACTTCTATTTAATGATGTCATACCAAAATAGTGAAAATACATTGTGCTGTTCCTTTCTAGACTTATCTGTTTTTAAAGATGTAATTAGAAATCCCCTTTAAGTCTCAGAACAAGCTGTCATGGAGACCAAACACAAAGTTGTTTCTGACAGGAAAATGTATCTGTCACCAAAATATCATGTCCAGAAAAAAAAAGAAAGTTCTGCAAGGTAGGCCATTAGGGGGCCCAGATTTGACCTTAGCCTTTTTCTTCCTAAGATATAAGGATTTTACTAATGGAAAGGAGCAAGAGAGAATGACTAAGCACGGCGGTCAATTTCTACGGTAAAGTTTCCAATTCTACGGAAGGGTATCAGGTTACCGGGGTTCCACGTGCGGCTTCCGTGCAGCCAGTCTCAACAGTAAACATTTTGTTAAGCAATAATCAACAGTTTCTCGGGGACTCCCTTGTCCAAATGTGATAAAATCCGCACTGCATATACCTCAAATTCTGTTGTTTTTATTACATGGATTAAATGTGTGTGAAGTCACTCTCAACGCGTCGAATGCCTATTCTAGAACAATCGACGTCAATAACCAAACAACTGATTTAAATCGACCCCCAAATATCCCAGAAAATCCCACATTTTTGCATTTTAGAGACCTGTATAACAAAATTAAGATTTGAGTCGGACAGTTTTCTCTATTTCAAAGTGAAAGTCTTGCTTAGGCTGAAAAAAATCGCCAAAAATGCACTTTTTCAACTTCCAAGACCGATAATTCCAGAATGCCGCCATCTTTAACAAATCCGTCCGACACAGATCAAGATTTTTGTCTTGCCTACAATTTAAAGTGTTTCCGAGGTAAATTGAATTTTTTTTTTTTTGCGGTTTAAATACCATGTTTGCACGCATGTCAGGTCGTGTGAGTAAGTGCAGGGGGTAACTTATATCCCCGTAAACAACAATAACGATCCTCAAGGTCACACACGATAACGGCAGTAGCTTCGTTACATGTTACATATCCACTATAAAACAGGGAATAGGTATACTGTCCCGAGATTGGTTTATATTTGTGAAAAGGTAAATATTTTACCGTTGGGCGGTACCCGTGAAAAAACGGGCTTAAAACCGCGGGTTTACTGTACATGACCGTGGGTGACCCCGGATCGAACGAACGTTCATATCGTCATATCGAACATGATTCGGTTCGAATGACGTCATATTGAACATGATTCGGTTCGATTAAAAGGGCCCAAATTTTGACCCATTTGGGCCCAAATTTGACCATCGTGAAGATGCTGGGAACGTAAGAAATCCATCTGTTTTACAAAACACCATAGTTTGCCATAGAATTATATTTTTGTTTCAATCGTACTTTTATTTCATTAAAATATCAACTTGGCTGCTTTTCATTGAGGTTGTAAAGATTCAGGTAACATCTATCAGGAAGTTTTTTATTTGGTTTATTTAGCTTATTCCAGTCATTTTATTTAGGACAAAGTGAGATCTTTTCTTTATATCTCATCTTGTAAATCATTTTTCTACAGTCACCTTAACAAGCAATGAAGCTGTACAGCGGTGTCCAAGTACTATTGGCAGCTGGTTTTCTTCTTGTTGTTTTATACCTTGGATTTGAAAAAAAGTTTGAAAAATCAATGGTAATTAAGCCAAATCAGATGTCGACGGGGCTTAGTTTTGACATTAAAGGTGAGTGCCACTGCCTAAGTAATTCATATGTGTTTGTTTCTACAATATTAATATCATCATGAAAGTTCATCTGTGTTGTTAGTTACATGTAAAAAGTTAAGACTTTTGGTCCAACACAAAAAATTCTCTCACCTAGAGCTTTCGACCAGTCATTCTGGTTTTCCTCAGTAGACTGACCCTGTGAGGCTTGTCACGTGGCTTCTTTGAAGTGTGACGTCAACACTGGGGCCGACATCGTCTACCAGATACCTTTGACCCAGTGTTGACGTCACACTTCAAAGAATCCACGTGACGAGCTTCACTTGGTCAGTCTACTGAGGAAGACCAGAGTGACTGGTCGAAAGCTCTAGGTGTGAGAGTTTTTTTTTGTGTTGGACCAAAAGTCTTAACTTTAAACAAATATTAATACCATTTAAAAAGAAAAGTTTAGAGGTATTTGCATGGTTGAAATAAACGGGCTTGAAATGTTAACTGTATCTAGGAAACCTAATTCACAATTATTTGGAAAAAAAATGGACTAAGATTGGGTCGCTTGATTTTATTCAATTTAGGTAATGTTAATTTGATTATACGGATGACATCGTGTGTTTCCAATAAAAAAATAATAATAATAAATTGACTAAAGTGTTAACCGTACAAAATAAGCAACTAGATGTCGTATGTTACAAAAGAAAAGGATTGGAAAACGATAGTAATGTCACAGAGTGCCTAAATCAAGTCATTTAAAGAAGAAATTGAAAAAAAAGAAGACTACTAATATTCGCCATACCATGATCTGTGTGTTTAGTCATTGGCCAACCTTTATAACAGTACAACAACCACCTGGCAGATGGAACTCGTTAGCCAAGGCAGGCAGTCCACCTAGGGAAAGGATACCCTGACTTCAAATCACCAACTACCACTCTTACATTTTAATTCAACACCCCGCTAAATGGCTGCAGTTCAGTTGTGGCCAGGACGTTATGTTCACATCCCTCCTGGCGTAACGCGGCTGAACCGAGAGGGAGAACGTGAAGCTTGGGCAACCCACGCTCTCTATCGAACCTCCTTTCTTCTAATCCCTTAACCACTTGCCCAGGACTTAATAGCTCTACCTTTTTCTTTCTTGTAAAAGACCTGCGGCGATGGGCGAGTGGTGACGGCGGCAGGTGTAAGATGGCGCTGGAAGCCGCTAGCCACGGACCCACACACAGGCGGTCAGAACTGGATGGTCGCTCTCTGCTCACATGAGGCAAGGGCAGGGTTCGGCAGCCATTCTGATGTCGGAACAGCCGTCTTAATGGTCAGAGAAATCAATAATCACCTCATGGTGATGAGACTCCCCCTGAAAGGGAAGATGCAGTTGACGCTCATCAGTGCGTATGCCCCGACCATGAGCTTTGCACAAGAGCAGAAAGAGCTATTCTATGAGAATCTTGCACACCTGCTGCTCACTGTACCCAGGCATGACAAGGTGCTACTAATGGGAGACTTCAATGCTCGTGTGGGCAGTGACTCCCAGTCTTGTTCAGGTGTCTTCGGACCCCATTGTATAATAAGGGGAAACATAAATGGTCAGATGCTCCAAACACTCTGTTCTGAGCATGACCTTCTAATCACGAACACCCTGTACCAGTTATCTGACATCTACAAGGTCACCTGGATGCACCCTCGCTCAAAGCGTTGGCACCAAATTGATTTCATCATAACAAGGCGGCAAGACATTGGAGATGTGAGCATTACAAGGGCAATGAGAGGAGCTGACTGTTGGACTGATCACACTTTGTTGAGATCAAAGCTCTCCTTCTCAACCGCAAATGCATGTCTCCAAACTCTCACATCCTGATACTGGGAAACTGCTAGCAACAAAACTCCGTGAGCAGATAAAGAAACTACCCACTGAAAGCAACCCAGAGAAAGCGTGGAAAAACTTTCGCAAAGTAATATACGGCACATCCAAACGCACACTAGGGCACATCAAGCGCAAACACCAGGACTGGTTTGATAACAACAATGAAGAAATTACCAGCCTCCTCTGGCAGAAGCAAGAAGCCCTCACGAGCTGGCTGAATGACAAGAACTCTACCGCAAAACATAAGCACCTTAGGAGTAAAGTCCAGACTTGCGTGACCCTCGAAGTTCGTCAGCATCATCAGGTCTTTTCACGATGGCATGCGTTGTAGGAAATGATACAGATACGAAAGAAAGATGTACCCCGAGGATACTTATAAAATGTAAACACGCAATGTCCTTTTGTTTTGTCATGTTAACAAGTTCTCTTTTCTTTTCTATTTATAGACAAAAGACAATCTGTTGAAATAACACAATTCGAAAGAAAGGCGTTACTAAGGAAATATTGCAGAGAGCATTTTGACAAAAAGACGGTAAGTAAAATGGTAAGTAAACGATGCAAAAAGCTCGAGTTTGCATTTTTACTGCGGTTTCCAGATTTTTAAATAACAGATGTAATATTTTGTACTATTTTTCTTTTGTCCCAATACCACCAATTTAGTATTCGAAAAAAGAAGGCTACATAAAAAGCTCATACACTTTCGATGAAGTATCAAGTTTGAATTGTTGTCAGTAGTATTCACTTTTCCAGGAAAATAATAAAATGTAACAATTCTATGTAATAATTGTAATATAGTATCAAAATAATATGTAAAATCGATGTCAAAATCAAGCCATTATATAGGTATAGTTTTTATCTAACAAGGGAAGTAAACTATGTTTCAGTATTTTTTTTTTAAATTTTGAGTGTTTGTAATGTCTTTGTTGACCTATGGTATGCCCGGGTCGCTTGCTTTGTGTTTTTGTTACTTAATAAGGACGCCCTTAGATAACGGGAAGAGCTATTCTCGGTCTCTGTCCAAAACTTGCGGGATGGGTGGTTATAAAAGCTTCATTTATATCATTTATTGGCCTGTCTGAAAAGGATATGCTAAACGTAACAACTAAAATTAAAACAACAATATTTCTAGAATATTAAGGTTTACATTAAGGGAATTCTTGACCTCGTGATCTTTTTACAAGAAAAGAGTAATTAAAGTTTAAGGGAAGAACCTGGAGATAATTACATGGCTAAGTATCCTGGAATCCTGGAGTCATCGAACTAACAGGTATTAGAATCTTATTTTTGTATTGATAAAAATAACAGTGTGCTATAATTGACGAGTATGTGCGATTTAACATAAAACTGTACAACTGATAATATCTAAACTACTGCAATCTGCAAAATGTTAAAAACCTGTTGTCAAGGCCACAAGAAACATTATGAACTTAAAATATGCATTGGAGGTGCAATTTTCTGCCCACTTTAAATGTTACAAACGTACAAGATAAGAAAGTTTGATATCACCAATAATTGGCTAGTGAGTGCCTTCAACATTTAAATATTACATTACAACCTTATTTACATAAGTTATAAGATAAACTTAATAATAGAATTTTAAAAGTTCTAATCATATCATTGAGTATTCGAATTCTTGTTTTTGTTTTAATAACAAAGCTCAAGCTACCTAGTGCTGTATACATGTAGTAATGCAACACCCATGCCTAAAATACAATACATGTTTTACCATCTAAGATTTTAATTAAAAATGACTTTTCTCATCATTTATCAGATTAGTATATTCTCAAGACGTTCACAAATAAGATTAGTTAATTTATGATCCATGTTCATTTTTAAGCTAAATTCAAATTCGTCAAAATTAAATCAAAAATGAATTTTTTGTGCAAATTGAAAATTGTGTTCTAGATAGTCTTTTAGTCGCATCAAAATGTGTTGATTAAACGGTGTTCATAAAAAGTGTTATAAGATCTTAAGGCCTGATACTACACCTCTTCTGTTATTGCATAAAGTTGCTTTTTCTTTCAGGTGTTTCCACCGAAATCACGCTTTGTTGTCAGTGAAAAGTACAAGTTGTTGTATTGCCAAGTGTTTAAAACCGGAAGCACCACGACGTTAACCATTTTACACAACCTTGAACATGGGGAGGAAAGATCGACCAAGGAGATGAGAGACAAGCTGGACACGTTGCCCTTCAAACGGCTAAACGATTATACTAATAAGGAGGTCCGTAACATCTTGGAAACATACACCAAACTTCTTATTACTCGTAACCCGTTAGAGAGGTGGGTACTTTAAAGTCCAAATTACACACACTATAAAATATAAAATTTAATATTATGAAAAACTTAAACTGTTATCCAACTCAAAATTTGACACCAGAAATTTTAGACTGAATCACTCAGTCTACCTCAGCTATCTCATCATCATAGCTTCTCGCCAATCCACTCCAGCCAGTTCCGCGCTGCTTCATTGGCCTCCTGGAGATCTGTGTCTGTGTAGGTAGGACCAAGCCTGCAACCGTGCATCAGACCATATCTGACCCAAATGCTCTGGACACGTGATTTTTCCCACGTGTAACGTCAGCAAAGGGCCAAAGGTTGTCTGAAGTCGATATCGCCCCCAATCCCGGTTGAGCGATGGTTGAAGTGCCCTGATGTATATGGCCTCTTTTATGCCTCTCTTGAAGTAGTCCTGTTCGGTATCCAGGATTCTGACCCCCTCCAGATCCACTGTGTGTCCCGGTGATTCTATGTGGATGTGCTGTGACACCTCAGATGCAACAGAACTGGGTCGTCTATGCTCTAGAAACCTTGTTTTTACTAAGCGCTCAGTTTTCCCGATATAAGTTTCCCGACAGCGGCCTCTATTAGTGTTTCCCTGGCAACTTATGTGGTAGATAACCCCAAATTTGTTTTCCTTGGTCCACAGCATTTGGGTCAGATAGGTGATTCAGTCGAAAATTTCTGGTGATTCAAATTTTGAGTTGGAGAACAGTTTTTCATAATGTAATTTACCAACTCAGATAAACTTTAATGCTGATATAAATTTAATATTATATCATGTTAATCGCAGGATAATCGCAGTAGAACAATTTCTCAAGTGGCATTTACAACATGTTATTTATTATTAATATAGTCATATTGTCTTTCCTCGTGTTTCTTCTTCTCTGTCGTCGTCTTCCTCTCCTGCCATATCTTTAAATGGATTCAATTTCTTCATTTTGGGGTTAAATAACCTAAATTATGGTATGGAAGTACAGTGGGCAAATACCCCCAGGCGTTTTTTTTTTTTCATTTTTGTGATACAGGCTTTTAGAAAGGATTTACTTGGGCTTTTTTGCTGCGTTATAGAAAATGTACTACAGCAGTTTGTTACCGTATTTGGGTATGACTCATCAAAAGAGCATGCAGTGCAAGTAACCAATAGGCATGCATGTTTCCTCTATTTTTCTTGCTGATTGGCTGTTGGGATTTGAATGGATTAACTCAATTAACACCTGTACTTAGCCATTCCATATTGACAGTATGAACAAGTATTTTGGTAGGTAAAGCACAGGCCACGAAATACGCATCAATTTACGTGGGACGTTCTGCGGGAGAGTGCGGGACGTCCTACGGGAGAATGCGGTACGTTCTGCGGGAGAGTGCGGTACGTCCCGCAAAATTTCACAGATCTTTCGCAAAACTGTCCACTGGTAATGGGAAACGCCACTGCGAAACTTCTGCGTAGTAAAAAAACTTTCGCTAGATTTCGGTCGTCAATGAGCAGTCTTTGTATTCTGAGATTTACATTCCACGTTTATTTTCACGTATTTGTTGATAATTTGTGGATGGACAATACGCGGGATTAAAGCAGCGCGGCGGGTTAACGCGGTCTCGGCCGTGGGCGATCGATGTTTACCATTTGATACTCTGAGCTTGTTCCGACTCGTGTGATTCCAATAAATATTTCACCTAACTACGAACTAGTTGGAAGGATGATAGGTGCTTGGATGCCTGTTTGATTTAACAAAACAAATTCCGACGCTAAAACTGCCAGATATTTTGCTCTTCTCCGTTAGAACAACGCAAGCCGGAGGTCAATGACCTGCTCCCCACAAGTAAACAAACGCGGCTTAATACGTAATGTGTATCGTCGGTGCGTGCGCACCAAGGTATCAACAATTTTCCACAATCTTCAACGACTATAATCTACAACTTGTATTATCTAGTAGGTTCTGTCATCAATTTCCGAAGAATCACCAACATTGAAGAATGTACAGATTCAGGCGTGCGTTCGTTTGTTATTGCTGAGAACATCGTAAGACGGCTTCGAGGCAAATTTTCCTAAACTGAGGGTCGAGGGCTTGCATGCCAGACATTTTTCAAAGATTGGACAGGGCGGGGCTGTAATATCAAAGGAGCCGCCGGATTCTGCTAGCCGGGTTGATCAAGGGGGTTCAAAAGCAAACCTTATAAATAAAGAAGGAAATCTCCTAGATAGGAGAGGTTGACGTACGGAGTTGTGGAATAGAAGGGGGCTTATACATACATGGCTATACATGAATCTGTTCATTACAAATGTAGGTCTCAATATATCCGAATCCAAGATCGCTATATTTACAAATTGTACGATTTTTAAGGATCAAAATTGTCCGGCATTTCTGGGCGCACGTTACAAAGCGCCCTCTCCCACTCGAGTGCTCCACTGCGGGATATTGCGGGACGTCTGCGGAATATTGCGGCCGCGGTACGTCCAGCAGAACTTGATGCGTATTTTGTGGCCTGTACTGTACATGTATGTCAAGCTTTCCTGCTCCAGCATTGGAATGTGAGACAAAAACGCTTCTTTTTATCTTGCTTGAAAATCAACAGTTTGCCTTATGCAATTAAAAATCCTTATACCAATAGTGTGGGGGATAGCTATCCAACATATTGTCACTTCATTCTATAATATAAAATCCTTATATCATTCAGTGTAAAGAATTGTTTTCCCTTGTGTTTCTCCGTCTTTCCCTGTACTCGTAAAATGTTCTCCTTCTTTCCTTGTACTCGTAAAATGTGGTGTAGCCATCCGTTACATTTGCTCCAAAGCAAACGTTGACCTTTCTAGTTTAATAAGGTATCGGAATAGGTTAAAACCATCAGTCAGAATAAAACAAATACTCGCAAACGATTATACACAACAACCACCTAATAGCCGCATCCAGAACCTAGCCTACCACACATGTACTTAAGCAACGGCCTATTACACAGTATCATAGAAATAGGGGTGTTTCGAAAATATGCATGTTACTCAATATAAAAACTTCTTCGGTAAAAAGAAAAAAAGTGCATCATCGCGGACATAACTTAAAACCTCCTTCCCAATTACAAAGAAATACAACGAAGAGAACCATGACTTTTATCTGCGAACACATTGATGATCGGCTCACCATTTAAAGTTTGCACAGCTCTTAATAAAAGTCCACATCATGGTCGGTTTAGGGTTAGAAGAAACCGTTTAGTATGTATTTTCGTATTAATGGCATAGACATCCAGAGAATGTCTTCTAGTCAAAGTCAATCATAACAAAAGTGTAAGCGTCGTATGACGTAATACAACGTCCTTATGCTGTGAGTTATGTACAATCCTTCAATATATGCTATTCTCATATATAAAAAAATACGTTAAATAAAATTATATACAATAAAACAACGACAATCCATAATAGGGATACAAGAAGGCTCTGACTGCCCCATGAGGCGGACGACACGGGATCCCCAAAGTCTTAGACAAATTAATGACCATAGATATCCATTATGTTTTTAATATACGTAACAAATATCCATTCTAGGGTTCGCATTTTCAAAAATTAAAACCTATTATGTACTCGATATATGCAAAAATTACATCCTATACGTATTTAAAGGCACTGGCTTCCACATACTATAACTGACTAACACAAACATTTTAAATCAAGTAAGGAGAGAATCCATTGATACACTTGTTTAGTTATGACTTGTTTGTCAAGCAATATACAATATTCGATGGTAA